AGAGAAACTGAATCAGGTCATATTTTCAAGAGTAAAATATTATAAAGACAAGACGAGACAAAAGTCAAAAGTATGGTTTAATCGTCAACAGATCTAAAATTCATCTCATAGATACTACAAAATAGCTACTATATATGAAATCCAGCTCAATAACTGATATCTGAATGGCTTAAATTACATTAAATTTTAATAACTTCATGTACTGAGTTTAATAAACATGAGCGAAGTTTTAGTGTATCACAGTGAATTAAAACAAAACTACGGAATAGTCACTCACGAAAAACCTTAGAAACAGTTGTAGAATTTAGTATATTAAAACCATATATTACAAAAAATGATTTAGATGATCTTGCAAAATATTTTTCGATGTATCGAGAACGGGAAAAAGCTCGCAATGTCAATATATCTATAAATAATATCAACGATGATAGGGCCAGTCCGGTCCGGTTAAGCTCTTGAAACTGACCGATTTCTCCGGTTTTTCCTATTGATTTTTTAAGGCACTAAAGCTCAATTATTGTCTGATTTTTAACGATTTCCAAGTTTTTATAATCCAGATGTAGGGGTCGTGGAACTTTCAACAAACAAACTTCCAGTCGCTGTCTAAATTCCAGCTTTAAATATTGAGCTAGCACACTCATCATGCGATGAGAGCCTCGGATCATGCTGAATGAATTTGTTATGCTCACGAAAAGTTAGCTAAATATTAAGATTTAATTTCAGTCTAAACTAAATTTTTTTCACCTGGAAATGTCGAGCACACTTTTCTAGAGTATTTTTAACCAATCCTCATAAAATTCCAATTGGTAGGTGTTTTCAGTTCATGCTTACATTACAAAATATCAGGAAAATGTCGTTTTGTTGTGAAAATCTTGCAAAAAACTATACGGTTATGTGAGAAATCCCTGCAACTCATATTCTATGAAACCGTGCGGTAACATGTGCTGCATTCATTCATTGTAATGACCTTCACTAGCAACTAAATGTTGCTAACGATCATGCAAACTATTTATGCAATGAGAAACATTGTATAAATGCAACACACGTTATCGTACGGTTTCATAGAATATGATTTGCACGCTCTTTCCGGACAGCCGTATAGCATCATGTAATTGCAAAAATATTTAGATATTACGAAACCTTAAAATAGAAAGTCTCATATAAAACTGATATGTTTTAGTTCACTTTATCTTTCTTTTAGCAAAAAAGTATCCTTTCACGAATTGAGATGTCTCTCAGCTGTGTTAAATAATTATTTCAAATCAAAATTGATTAAACTTATCAATCATAAAGAAAAATATGATTATTGAAAAAAATTTAGCCAAAACATAGTATACGTGTTGTTCAATATTAATGGCTGTGAGTTACTAAATGAAACATCGTGAAAGAAATCTTCGTTTGTTCTTGATGTTAGTACATATGAGATGTGAAAAACTAAAACAAAAGTTTTTATTATTAGAAACTCCAATGGTTAAATGAGTTTTACATTATATGTCTTCGTACAACTGAAGCTTTAGACTGATTCTCGAAACATCTAATTGCTTAATTGATATAGTGAGCGCACCAATTTTTCACTGATTAACTCAACAATTGGAACCGGTTAGTTAGCAACCGGTCTGGTCCGGTCGACAAAAAATCCAATCAAATTTCAAATATGTAGTAGGCAACACGCTACACAAGTATTAGAAAGAGCATTACTTTAAAAACTATTGATGTAAACAGTTTCTGTGTATAGTCAAAATATATTTGTTCCCATTAATCTGAAATTTTTTTACGAATTTACTGAGATGAGAAACAGCGACGAAGGTAAAAATGTTTATGATGAATAAAGAGAGTATGAAAGATGACAGCTGAAAATATATTTTTCTGAGAAAATCTGATGGATAAATGGTTTCTCTATAGTATTGGAAGATGTTCTCTCTTAACTTTTCTCCATTCTAAGCAGAATTAAATGAAAACTATATTCCTAAGTAAAAATGAACATTCTAAAACATGATTTGCACAAGTTTTTGTTTTTATTTTAGCTTATTTGCTACTATATACTTGTAATATTTTTCCTAACAAAACGCATTATAAATGATTTAGATCATCTGTGACAATTATCTTTCAGTGAGTCAGTTGATTCGACGATTTTATTCAAAATAATGTACGAAAGAAGAATGTTAACGTTCGTATTAACATAGCTTTGTTGTTGACATGAGAATGGTACAAATCTTTTCGCTTTCGAAAGCCAAGAGAGAATTTACGTTTTACAACTATCAATTTTTTACTGTTCACTTTGGAATTTGAAACTTGTTAGTAATTTCTCGATAGAACCATAATCTATGTCTTAAAAAGGAACATAACGAAACATCAAGATAGTAGCAAATAGTGATACATTACGTATAAAGTTAAACCACTCATTAAGTTCAGACTCTGCAAAATGTCCATAGACAAAACGGAATTCAACTAATCATTCATTTTATTAAATTTTTATTTCCATGAAAAAAAAATTTCATATCGATACAAAATGTTTTATCTGACGAATATTTTAATGTATAAACCAAACAAGAAAAACAAAAAAAGATTAAAAGAAGTAATGAAATCTTTTTGTTTTCATTGATTATGTTGCTTTCAATGGACGACAAACGATTAAAGCGCGTGGTTCTAAATTGGATTCAAGCATTATTTATTTGTTTAAATTTAATATCGATATCATACATAACTTAAATCAACATTTTATTGATGAATTCAATCGATTGCACGTATAAAAATCTCTGTTTGATGGAACGAAAATGCAAAACTTCTATGTTGATAAGTTGATTGCATTGCCCAGGCAACAGACAAACTTATTCATAATAGAAGCAACTCTTCTTTACACTGATTTTCTCGTTAGAACAAGATTGCATTAGATTACTCATATTTTAACGAATAACTTAATTACAAGAAATACTTTTTGATGAAATTCTAAACTATAGACGTTGAAACTTAGTGAATCTAGAATAAGGTCAACATTTTTTGTAAAATACGCACTGGGAAGTTTACAATCGGATGGAAGAATGATCTTTTTTTTAATACTGTCTACATGAAATATGGTTAATGTGTCTTTTTTTCAAATCATATTTTGCAGTATATAACACTAATGTAGATGAAAAAAGACATCGCAGCTTTTATCAAAACACAAGTATTTAAAGAAACACGGCGATGTTTGTCGCTGTTGAATTTTGATTTTCGAATGAAGTAATTTTGATCTGCTTGCTCGAAAAGAGAATAATGCCAAAACAGCAGTTTTCACAAAACTAATAAATTGTATTGTAACTTTATGCACTGTACTGAAAATGTTTAATGCGCATGTACGCTTAGTCGCTGAGAATGGAACAAATTTTTGACAGAAACTTCTAGTTGATCTAACCCCGAACTTTATTATAGTTCTTCTTCAGTTGGTTCGAAGGAACACTACATCAATGTCATTACTGATGTATGATCCATAATTTAATCATACAAAACTTATTATTTCCTCAAATATGATTCCTAAAACTGTTCTAATGAACAAATCGTACTATTTGCCACTGCAAATGAGCGAAAAATTTGGTGTTTAAACGAAACTTTCGATGTACTAGAAAATCTATCAATCAGACGAAACGAGAAACAAGTGCTCGAATCTATCCTAATCTATGAAGCCTGAATCTAGGATAGAGGTCAAATAGGTTCTAGTTCAAAGTTCAGTTTCAACAGCTGAGCTGTTCGAAAAGTTTTGTTCTATTTTCAGAATGACGTTTCAGTAACAAAGCAAATATATATTTATACCTGCCAGTGTCTTTCTCACAACTCGAGCAAAACTTGTTTAGTCAGATCAGAGAATATTTTCAACAGATCCTCATGGTTGACCTAGAACTGAACTTGTCGATCTCTGATCTAGAAAAGGTTCTACGATTATCCAAGTCGTGTGACTTCATCACCTATGCTCTAAGCTTTTGAACAACTCAATCAAACCGATTTGTAGTTTCATCATTAAGACTGCAGATTTCTTGATTAAATCTCACCTTTGTCGATTTTAATTTACTTATTCATTAAAACTCTTGAATGAAATTTAATAAATTTACTTCAATTAACATATAGGAATTCCTAATCTTCATTAATTAAACTTATACGACGATTGATCAATGATAGTTCTCTTGATTAAAAAACTTGTCATTGTGACCCCATGATGGGCCTCAGTGTGGAACTATCCAACTCCGACTGTTATTAATGTATGATATATTGTCAGAGAAGTTTTTACAACATGCCAAATTAATGAATCAATCGAAATTATAACAATTTTTATAGTTGATACGTTCACTCTGAAATTTTATTATTTCAAACATTATTTCAATTTAGAATAATTTATTAGATTCATTTAACATTGTTACACTGAAAAAACTTCTTTATATTGTCAAATACATCTTCAATAGATAACTTCTTCTCTTTCAATGATAATTCATATATGATTGATGCTATACAAAACGACAAGTATCATTTTATTTGTTGTTTCGTCAGTTTAATCATCATATTAGTGTGCTACACGCAGTTATTTAGCCGTTCAGCCAATTTTCGAATATACCATTCTTTTTCTCGGGGAATTTTGACATATACTGTTGAGTTTGACCTCAACGTAGAATTCAATTAGTTCATACATTTCTATGTTCCTCCTATTCTGACTTTGCTAGATCAATAATACCACCGCCCTATTGATTGACACCTAGAATAAGATCCCTACAGCCAGTGCTTGTTCAAGTGGCAAAATAACGTGTAGATATGCATAAATATCATCTTCATATATATCACCATAGAATATTTCTTTCACAGGCATGATGGTTTTGTATACGAACGATTCTAAAGAAAATTTATTTCTTAATAAGATAAGAAAAATGTAAAGATATTATGAGAAAGTTTTTATTTTTTTGCACAAAAAAATGCAAGATCAAAAACAAGAAAAAAATGTAAAAAAAATTGAGATTTAAACATTCTCATATTTTTTTCTTTTAAAGAAAAGTACATGAGTGTTTTGATGGTTTTGTTGATTTAGGTGATAAAACAGCCCGAATAGCATCATCAAAAACCTTTAAAAATATCAATAGACAACGAAGAAGTTTTTCATAAATTTGAGGCACACACCTGTTTAAGGCCTTTTTGTGTTAATGCTGAACATTCAACATATTTAAAAGCTCGTATTTTTTTACATAAACGTTGTCCTTGTTCACGTTTAATTGGTTGAATATTCTGTTTATGTAATTGATTAACATATTCTCGATCTTCACGTAAATCAATTTTTGTTCCTAAATAAAAATTTAGAAAAAAAAAATTTTTTTCTTAAACAATAAAAACAAATTCTAACCACATAAAATAACTGACTTATCCGGACAGTGATGTCGAATTTCTGGCATCCATTTATTTGTTATATTTGTAAATGATGTTGGACTAATTACACTAAAACACACTAGAAATACATCAGTTTGTGGATATGATAATGGTCGAAGTCGATCATAATCTTCTTGACCAGCTGTATCCCATAAACCTAATGAGACTTTAACATTATCAACAATTATATTCGATGTATAATTATCAAAACTATAACAAAAAACAATACAATAGAAATAATTAGTATGAATTGATGGAATTTACACTGTTGGAATATATTCTTCAGGAAATGCATTACTTGTAAATGATATTAACATACAAGTTTTACCAACAGTACCATCTCCAACAATAACTAATTTGATTGGTACACTTTGATGAAGATTTAATTTATTTGCCATCACAATAGTGGTTACTGTCTTTGTTGCTCTACGCTCTAATGCCAATAGCAATATTTGAAGAAATAAAATATCGATTATAGCTAATGGCAAGGTCGTTTTGTATTCGATTATAACCAAAAAAACTTTTTCTCTTTTCGTAATTGACAAGTTCAGATATATGGATAAAATTACCACCAATGAAATATCAAGTATGTTCAAAAAAACAATGGACTATATAAAAGATTCAAAGAGGTTTTATAGACTATTTTTGATTAGTTGAAACTTATCCATTGATATTAATTTTAGGTCATCTGAGTTAATCAGCTGCTTAAAATAATAATTAATCTTCCTTTCTTTTTCGTAAGTATTCGATTGCTCGGTTTACATAGAAGTTTGTTTTTTTGTATAATAAAATATTTGTTTATTTTCTAAAATAATTCTATATTGTATTCAAGGATTTAAAAGTATTCTTTTTATGTAAAACGGATAGAAAGAAAATCTACATCCTATTTTAATTGAATTTCATATTTTATTATTCAAATTAAGTTTAAGAATGTTTAAAAAAAGAAGCAGCCTTTTCATATAAGAGTTCATTGAATCTATAAGGTTACAACAAGTCTTTATAAATTTGATTAAACAAAGTTTGCGATATCGACCGTACATATTAAAGCATTGATAATCTATGAATTTTATGTTTATTCAAAGTTTGAGATCGTGTTTATTGTCATAGTTTCTGTACATTATTGACTTTATTAAAGACAAACGAATTGATCGAAGCATATATATATATATATGACTTCTTGTCTATAGGTATAATGTTACCGGAAAACTGAAAAGCTTTGATCGTGATTCTTCATTGGGTTTCAATCAATCAATCGGCTTTATTTTGGCTGAAAACATATGAATATTATATAGAATAAATAAGTAGTCAGAAGAGTAGTTATTTTCTTTATTAAAAAAGCATAAATATGGAAAAATAATAAATTAAGGCATCGAATAATTTAGTTTGTAAATAAAATAGATATATCATTGTCAAGCAAATTTTCACATATACCTATTTTGAAAAATAATGATTGATAAATATTTAGATTTTGTGACGCTTTCTTTTTGAATTTTAGTATTTGTTTTTATAGAATAGAATTGATTTTGATCATATAAATCAAAATTCATCATGGAAAAAATTCATCCATTGAATTGCTTAATGATTATGCAATATACATCTATTATATATTATTAAATAAAACGATAGGTTTTATTCATTTTCTTATATGTTTATCATCTTGTTTTTCAATGAAAGATAAGGAAAGACAAATGATCTTTGTTTCAATGTTATCTATTATTTATATTTTCAGAGGAGCTGATGAGCATTACGACGTTCGATTGTCGATTATAAATATGAAATTCTTTTTAAAACTGCATTCAGATTTTTTTTTGTAGGATAAGCTTGGATTTTTGTTTTAGATAATCATACGATAATTCAGTGAATTTTATGTTTAGTAAGTTAGTTTATTTTACATTTTTATAGTTAGATTGTAAATACGTAACTTAGTGTCTTCAGAGTTGTCATGGTTTATAGTCTAAGAAAAAAGAAGTTTCAATAGGAAATAAGTAGAGATATATGTTGACACGATGAAATAAAAGATTTCAACCATGACTCATTAATAAATGCTAAAATAATTTTTCGTCCGTACAGTTTGACTTTTGTGGATATTTTTGTTAATACCTAGTTTATTATTATCTTTAATGTGTTTCAATTTAAAATTTCTCGAAATTATTTTTTCATCGTTGATCTTTGTTTATAAGGAACATATGTTAACAATTTGAATGCTAATCGTTTATATCAATGCGAATGTGTACATGTCAGTTTAGTCAATTTTCTCTCAGTCTAAATAAATATTTATTATCTTCTGGAATATAAATATAACACCTTTTTTCTTGGATAACTAATAAAATGTTTAGTTAACTTTTTTTTATTTACAATTGAACATGGATTGTCTGTGTAAATTTCCCGATCATACTTCATAGGAATTGAAAAAGTATTTTGCGACATTTCAAAAAAAAAAAAAAACAATTTTTTGTATAAAACTTTTGAAAATAAAACTCGATCAATTTCTTCTTCATTGTCAAGTATTTATCATATAAGAATTTGATATTCTCCAAAAAAAAACTAATGATGCAATACGATGCAAAAATGACATTGCGTTAGGTAAAGCTCATTCATAATTTTTACGCTTTTTCACACAAAAATTTCACAATTACGTATCGTCGAATCTCGTATGTAAATTGTGTAAAACATCATGTGTCCAATAATATATTTCCGATGTAATTGTGAGTTTAATGCAAAACTTTTTTCTTTCAGATATTTTTCGTAATTGAATGAACAGTTTATAAAATGGATTATCATACAGTTGCTCATGAAGAGAATGACGTTCTTGAAGTACCTGATCAAGCTTTGTCACCATTTATGGAATTTGAAACACAAGATGATCAAAATAATAATGAAAAACGTATAGAAATAAATTTTCTTTGTTTCTTTTAATAAAAACTTATTCTTTATAGAATTACGATGGAGTCATCAAAAAGATTTAGATGATTTTTTCGTTCGAGTATATCAATATCATCAACGACATGGATTCTTTTGTATAGTTCTTTCTGAAATCTTTGCTCTTGTGTATGTGAAAAAAAATATTTTAATTTTTTTTAATTTCTTTTCTTTTATTGTTTTGTTTTATTAATAGACAATTTATATTTATTGTTTCATTTACTATTCTTATTGTTCAATGTATTGATTATCCACTTCTATTTCGTTCAACACCGGCAGCAAGAAATATAACAGATAAAATACAAATTAATCAAGTCATTCAATCACCTAAACAGTGTCTTCGAAAGTAAGTTTTTATTTTGAATAAAAATGAAATATTTATTTTAAATTCCTTAGTATGCGTTTAATAATATCGTTATGCCTAATACTTTCAATCATTTATTGGATTTATCGTTTTTCGCGTGCTATTTATAATCTTCTGTCGTATTTTAATATTCGAGCATTTTATATTCAAGCTTTAGATATAAAACCAGTAAGGAATTAAGCAATAAAATATACTATAATTACTAAATATCTATATAGATTGATCTACCAAATATGACATGGCATGAAGTACAACAACGATTAATTATTGCTCAACGAACACATCATTTATGCATACATAAATCTGATTTAACTGAATTAGATATTCATAATCGATTATTACGTTTTAAAAACTATGAAGTAGCATTAGTGAATAAAGGTATTTTACCGCCGAGGATACATTTACCTATATTGGGTGATATGTAAGTGTGAAATAAAATGAATGAAAAAAGTTTATATATTCAATTTTGTTGTAGAATTTCGTTTACAACTGGTTTTAAATTTAATCTACGTTTAATTCTATTTTGTAAGTAATTAAAATGAAAAGAAGAAAAGCAATTTAAATAGATAGAAAATAGAATCTGTAAATGTCGTGGAAAATATTTTGTTGAAGCAATAAATGACTTAGAAAGAAGATCAGTCCTATGTATCGAAAATTTCTTTCGATTTTTTCAGAAACAAACGAGTGAATTACACCGTAGATATACTTTAAAGTGTACTATTCTCGTCAGACCGGATAGAAATCAGCAATACATTGATTTACACACGGTTGTCCGAAACATTGCTCCTTCTCTGAATCTCAATTCGCTGTAGGGCAGAAATTCTTGTATGGTATCAATATTTCAGCTTGAGTAAATGAGAAATCACAATTTCGTGAACATTTAATGCTCATGAAACTGAGAATGTTTAGAGCCGAGTCTCTATCAAAATTCAGTAAGCCTACCAGCAGCTTCTAGGATTTATTTTTTTCGAGATCTTTTGAAGTTTTTCTATAAATCGTGTAATACATTCTATTATCAAACGAAAGAGGTTATGCCCATGAAGGAACCATTCGAGGGATACCTCGTGTTTAAGATAAGACTCTAATCATTGCATAGGAACTGTTGATACTAGAAGAAACCAAGAAAGATTCATCTTTTAGCGTTGCCATGTTGGAATGATGGCGGTTACGGCAGGTTTTAACCTTTGGCACGGTATTTGTAAAAAGAAACTGAGCCAACAAATTTTGACGTAAAGTTGTTTCCATAGACAGCTCTTAAATCATTCAAATCTCTTAAACATTGCGACCAATTGAGTAGTCTTATCTCGAGACATCAAATCCATAAAAAAAACTAGATTTTCCATCCCGTTGGTGGCATATCATAGTTTTTGTGAGGTTAATATCATGAGAAGAGATCATTTTTCTTGGCTGAGGTTTTTACGAGATTTTACTATCTTCAAGATCTGTCTATGAATAAAGTTTTAAGCCAAAATTCATCTGTCGTTTCTTTTTTATCGTACTATAGATAAAAAAATCCAGTGTAACGGCCATAACTCTGAAAAGACAGCACATAGAGAATAATGCTTCAAAAGTTCTTGTAGCTTTAACAGGTTCTATGTAATGACCGGTCTCTCATTTGACACGCGAAGTATTTCTTCGAGTGATTTCCTCATGAAACTGAAAGATCAGTTGAGGAGGAGGGTTGACTCATAGGCGTTATGATTCTCTTTTTGTATAGTTGCAATTGAGTATATACTATTAATAAATAAACTCGGGTAGTCGCTCTCTTATCAAATTTAATAAATTCTTTATTTTGAACAAGAAAGTTCAGATAGTTTTTGCGACTTATTAAAACAGTTGTTGTCTAAATGGATTCATAGTTTTAACTTCTTTTTTGATCAGAAATCTGTTGACATAGGTTTGATATTTCAACATTTTTTGAAAAAATTTCTACAAGTCTTTAGTTATTTTTTCCTTTCGTATTTACTATAGTGACTTTTGACTTTTTAATATCGCATTAGGGGGCCCATATGCACCATTTGATCAACGATGGCATCTACAACAAGAATATAAAGTTCATAGTCAACGTGGAGTTTTAGCTCAACAGTATGTTTTGTCTGTAGATTTCTTATCTAC